CACACACACACACACACACACACACACACACACATGCATACATACATACTACTCACAAAAAGTTTGGGATATTTGGCTTTCAGGTGAATTTTATGGAAAATGTAAAAAGTTCACGCTCCTGTGATATCATATCATGAAAGTAGGATATTTAACTAAAATAATGCACTGGTGATTTCCTCATCTCAAACAATTTACTGAAACAAAAGTTAACAACAATGGTGGGTACACCACAACAAAAAAATTCTACATCTCAATAACACATCATGTGCCCTTGAGCATCAATTACAGCTTGACAACAACATCTCATGTTGTTCACAAGTCAACTTATTGTCTGCTGGGGCATGGCATCCCACTGTTCTTGAAGTGCAGCCCTCAGGTCATTGAGGTTCTGGGGTGCAGAGTTTCGAGCCTCTACAAGGCGACTCAACTGATCCCACAGGTTTTCAATAGGGTTCAGATCTGGAGAAAGTGCAGGCCAGTCCATTTGAGGTACACCAGTCTCCAACAGCCGTTCCCTGATGATGRYACCTCGATYAGCTGGAGCATTGTCGTCCATGAAGATGAAATCAGGCCTGTGCTGTTCATGTAGGGGCACAATCACTGGATTAATGTTATTCAGATAGTATGGGCTTGTCACTGTAACATTCACAAAGTGTGGGGCAGTTCTGTACCAACTGGAGGCACCTGCCCACACTGTAACACCGCCACCACCAAAAGCTCATCTGGTGACAACAGTGGCTGATGCATTACGCTCTCCTTGACGTCTCCAACATCGCTGGCGGCCATCATTTCTGTTCAACGTGAATCAACTTTTATCAGAGAATAGCACTGAGGCCCACTGGTCCCTCGTCCAGCGTAAATGCTCCCTGGCCCATGCAAGACGATGACGCCTGTGCCTGGTGGTGTGGTCAGGTACCCTTGCAGGTCGTCTAGCATGCAGACCACACTGATGTAACCAGTTTTGATTGGTCTGATGTGACACTTGGTTGCCTCTCACCTCCCTTCGTGTCTGGAGTTGAGTGGGATTCATCATCTGGTTTCTCAGGGCATTGTTCACAAAGTAGTGGTCATCAGCATGGGATGTGGTCAAAGGACGTCCACTTGTACACCTTTCTGTGACTCTTCCAGTCTCTCAGTATCTCTGTTCCAACCTGCTGATGACACTCTGTGACACTCTAAGCTCAGTGGCCACATCCGTCTGAGAGCGTCCTGTTTGAAGCATCCCAATGGCAAGGTACTGTTGATCCATTGTTAGGTATCGTCTTGGTCTCATGATGTCAAAATGTGAACAGCATGATGGGGACGACTGTTTAAACACCAGCTCTAACTCAACCAGCACATTTATTGGTCAATTCAATGATCAAACACCTGTTGTGAATTTTGCTCTTAAGCTCCTCGTTAGAAAACAGCAACTTGTGCAAAAAGAACTGCAACATTTAACAGTTGGATACATGCATTCAAAAGCTTAGAGG